CAAAAGAGGGCCCTCATATGACTGTGCCCTGACTCAGACTTCCAGGCTCCAGAAATGTGAGAAATACATGTCTGTTGTTTGGTAACCAGTCTAGTATTTTGTAATACAGCAGCCTGAATGAGACTAAGACACAAATCAAATGGAGAACTTTTGCATCAAAATGGCAACAATTTCTTTCTGTATGTCTGTTTCATAGGCTCTCTGTTACATATTGACAGGTTTTTTGTTTTGTTTTTTTTTCAAACAATAAGAGGAAGTTTATTTAGAAAGTTACAGAGGTAGTACAGGTGAGCCAGAGGGGCTTCGTAGGCTCAGGACACGGTTACGGAAGCAGAGGAGGGCCCTAGGACGGGAAGGGGAAGGGCCACGGTGAGGTACCAGGGGAAGAAGAGGGGGATGGGAAAGGCGCAGGCATGCTCCCCAGAGGGAGCAGGAGGGAGAATACATATTGAGTTTTCCAGAGAACAGGACAGTTTTTAATAAGAGTGAGACTAGGCACTTCACACATGCACTTATTGAACTTTTATTATTATAATTTTTTTGTAGAGAGGAAGGGAGAGAAATAGAGAGTTAGAAACATTGATTAAGCTGCCTCCTGCACACTCCCCACTGGGGATGTGCCCGCAACCAAGGTACATGCTCTTGACTGGAATGGAACTGGGACCCTTGAGTCTGCAGGCCGACGCTCTATCCACTGAGCCAAACCAGTCAGGGCTTTATTGAACTTTTAAAACAACTAGACGTAAGGATATTAGGACAAACTGCATAACTTGTCCAAGATCAACAGGGGCAGGGCTGGATTCTCACCTAGGTCAACTGGACCCCACAGCCTAGAAGGTGAAGTCAGTGCCACTCAGAACCCCCTTAAAAAATACCCAGCAATTTTGCCCAGCCAGTGTAGTTCAGTGGTTGAGCATCGACCCATGAACCAGGTGGTCACCGGTTCAATTCCTGGTCAAGGCATATGCCTAGGTTGCAGACTCAATCCCCAGTTTGGAGCGTGAAGAAGGCCGATCAATAATCATTGATGTTTCTATCTCTTTCTCCTTCTCCCTTCCTCTCTGAAATCAATATGTATATAGTAGGACAATTCTATCTGGAAATCTTCTGAATAGCAGAGGACAATCCCTGTGGTGAAAAGCAAATGTATGGGTCTCTCTGAAATAACACATGTGCGCATGCACACACATGTGCACACATATATTTTTTTAATATACTTTTACTGATTTCAGAGAGGAAGGGAGAGAAAAACATCAATGATGAGAGAGAATCCTTGATCGGCCACCTACTGCACGCCCCTCACTGGGGATAAAGCCCGAAACCTGGGCATGTGCCCTTGACTGGGATCGAACTCAGGATCCCTTCAGGCCGATACTCTATCCACTGAGCCAAACTGGCTAGGGCAATAAAAACATTTTTTTAAAAAAAATGCCTAGCAACTTCCATGACAGCCAAGGATACATATAGGAACTTGTGCAGACAGTGTCCATAGGAACATAAATTGGCACAGTCTTTCTGGAAAATAAGTTGATGATATATACAAACGCTCAACTTATAGTGGGTTACCTTCTTTTTTCCAAACCGACTGGGCTATATATAATGCATTACCTTTTTTAAAAAAATATATTTTTATTTTTTATTTCAGAGAGGAATGAAGAGGGAGAGAGAGAGAGAAACACCAATGATGAGAGAGAATCATTGATCGGCTGCCTCTTGCACGCCCCCTACTGGGGATCGAACCTGCAACCCCAGCATGTGCCCTTGACTGGAACCGAACCCAGGACCTTTCAGTCCGCAGGCCAACGCTCTATCCACTGAGCCAAACCCAGGGCATGTGTTACCTTTTACTAGTAATAAACCATCACAATTTGAAAATATTGTAAATTGAAAATGTGTTTAACCTACAGAACATCCCACCTTTGCCTACATTTCTACTGCATGCATGTTACTTTTGCACCATTGTAAAGTTGAAAAAATTGTAAACTTATCCGGACTGGGGTGGCTCAGTGGTAATCTTAAATCAGGGACTGTCTGTACAGCCCTACAGATGGCCCGTTCCTTATATATAAACCTGACCCCAATGAAATATATACTATAGGATATTATATAATTCTTAAGATCAGAATCTAAAAGAAAAAAGATACACTGAGTTTCCCACATTAGTTTTAAAATGGAAAAACATTAATAATCTAAATGGCCAATATGAAAAGAATGATTAAATAAATGATAATATAAATATTATGGGATATGATACAGTTATTTTAAAAATATGAAATAATTATGAAATTACCTAACAGCCCATTAAAGAATGCACATAAAAAAGCTGGGAGGGCCCTAGCTTGTTTGGCTCAGTGGATAAAGCATCAATCTGCAGACTGAAGGGTCCCGGGTTTGATTCTAGTCAAGGGCACATGCCCGGAACATTTCTAGGGTACCATGCCTTTATCAGCCTGGCCCTGCTTTCATCCCAGCTGCGTAGACTCCAGGTGAGTTTAGTAGAAGAGTCCCCATACTGACCCAGCTCCTACCTCACCATAGGAAGATCTGAGGCCCAGGTATGAAGTACTAATGGGGACCCTGGAGTAATGAGTTGCAAATTGCGTCCTTGAAACTCTCCTCACACCAATCCAGGGGCCCTGGGCAATGATTACAGGAAGACGTGAGAGAGGAATGGGAAGAGGCAGCATGAGCAGGGGTGAGGGCAGCCCTGGTCATGGTCTACTATCTCTGGGCACAGCTTCCCTAAATGGAAAGTGAGGCTTGGCATGAACACTCGCCAGAGCCTTGGCTCAAGCACACTGGATTCTACCAGCCAGTCACCACCTTGGGCCCATTCCACAGGCTCTGCTAACATGACACCAGAGGAAGGCTTTGGTGTACACTGGGGTCAGAGTCGGCCTGACAACCATCAACTCTTGGAGCTAGCCTTCAGTCTTTCAGGCCATGGAGCTCACTGGGTAGACCAGCTGTGGGCAAACTACGGCCCGCGGGCCGGATCCAGCCCGTTTGAAATGAATAAAACTAAAAAAAAAAAAGACCGTACCCTTTTATGTAATGATGTTTACTTTGAATTTATATTAGTTCACACAAACACTCCATCCATGCTTTTGTTCCGGCCCTCCGGTCCAGTTTAAGAACCCATTGTGGCCCTCGAGTCAAAAAGTTTGCCCACCCCTGGGGTAGACTGTCTAAGCCTGACTGCTCAATGGCATCCCATTCATTCTTATCAGTTTTCAAATGATGCAGACTACCTGTTTACTTCTTAAATTAGTAGGTGGTCAGATGGTCCTGACTATCCTTCCACTCAGCACATACCAGGTCCCCACAGCAGGGAAGGGCTGGGGTTACCAGCTGACCCTCCCCAGTCAGGAGCTTCTCCACTGTACCTGTACCCTGTACCATCAGCACCATAACCTGTACCCTGAGCACCATCACCTCCAACCCTGGAGAAATTTAAAAGACTCCATCTTTTCAACCAGAGTGCAACCTCCCAGATTTAAAATTTCTGAATGTGTACTAAAAACTACAAAGTATATATTTCCCTATTTATCCAAATGATTATGAAAATAAATTACAAATCCAATATTTGCCATTCAAGTTCCAGGGACTTTAAAAGAAGTCATGATCTGCACCAGCATCAAGAAGAAAGCATCTATAGTAAGCATGCTTTATGTTCCGCTTTAACAAAGTAGCCAATCTGCCCATAAAGAAAGATTTTATACAACAATGTGGGGTAGAGCTAGGCACAAGGAAAGGGCCTGAGGCTTAAATGGTGAAAGTGGAGAAGAAAAGAGAAGGTGGGTGGATGCAGAACAGGAAGGAAAGGGAGCACACTGAAAGGTCTCAGATGTGAACAGGGAGACTAGAAGGTTGACAATGTCAAGTCAGGCTGCTTCCTGGACAGAGGGTGAGTCTCTGGGGAGAAGGCAGGAATGGAGGCAGAGATGGGCTCCTTCACTTACAGTAATAACCTAGTAACCAACGATGCTGGAAGAAACAGGGATCCCCAGAAACAAAACAGAATGAGAGAAAGGCGAGAGACTAAATTAGATTTATGTCTAAGAGTTAAGAGGAAGCAGCAGGACAGAAGCACATAGCACACTCAGGAGGCAAGTAGGGTACACGGCTCCTGGGCTGCAGAGCCAGAGGTGTGAGGACTGAGGGGAGCCTGTGTGCTTGGTGTGAAGCAGCTTCAGGAGGGTGAAGAAACTGGGATCACAGACTGGAGTTAGTACAGAACAAGTCTCTTTGAGGGGTAAGGAGCTGAAAGGATGGAGAAAGAGCAGACACTAAACCAAGAAGGTAGTAAGGTCACAGGAAAGCTGCTCTTAGGAGGAGGTCGGAGCCTGTCTGGAGGCAGAAGTCAGTGAAACAGGGAGCTGGAATCACTGGGGGCAGACCCTGGGAGAATGAGTTGCCAACTGCGTACTTGAAACTCTCCTCACACCAATCCAGGGCCCTCACTTCTAGTTGTCCTAAAAGATACTGGTGAGGGGAACAGGTGGGCCTCGAAGCAAAGAGATTTGAGACAAATGGGAGGCACACACTGGAGGGTACCAGGAATAAAGCCTGGAACACAAATGTACAGAGGGTTAGAGACACGGATGAGGGTTAGGGCCCAGGCAGGAAAGCACAGAGAAGATCTAGATGGGAACACCCGCCATCTCCCAAAAGAGGTCAGAGAAGGTGGCTGTCTAGCCACATGAGGTCAGGCCCAGAGAAGCCAGGGAAGATAGGAGCACAGACACGCACACTCTACTTCTTTCCCGGGTTGGTAACAACAGACCTGGAAAGCTCGGGACACCCAGAATGTTACAAAACCAGCGCAAAGTTGGGATTCTACTGAGGAACCCAAGGCTATAGTCCCTACCTTATTACCCGCCGCTGTGCATCTGTTGGTTGCCTATACTAAGTTTCCTTAGGAGTTAGAGAGACAAGCCCAACAGCACACACATCACCTGGAGAAGAATCTGATAAGAAGTGAAGTGTTCAATACTCACAGGAACAATAAGCCCTTGCCAAGTCAATAAATTAGCTTCATCAACCTGGATGTTACGGAAGTTTTTCATTCCACATTTGCGGATTTCTTCAAGCTCCTGTTGATTGACAAAGCATAAATGGGTGTCAAACAGAGGAAAGCACCACATATTAAGATCCCCCTGACTTCCTCAAATTAAAAACTGAGTGCCAACACCACCAACGATAACATTTCACTGTGGACTAGATCATGCCTGGTCTGGTTAAGAGGCCCAGAGCCATGGTGGTCCCCTCAACCCACGCCCCAGACCAAGACAAGTCCCACCTTGGTAAACCCACAGTACTCAACAGGGTAAGTGACTGTGCTCCTACGAAAGCACTGCCTCCTCTCTAGGCTGTCACCACACAACAGGGGCACAAGAAAGGTACTACAGACCTGATTTCTAACCGAGCTTTATTAAGCACTGACTGTGTGTCAGACGGCGAGGATAAAGATGAATAAAGTGGGACCAGGAGAACACACATACCCACAAAGTGTTCTACCCAACGCTGTAAGTGCGATTTCAGGGCTCCGCCTCAGCATGGGCACACAGCGAAGAGAACAACTATCCAGTCTGGGATGGGAGGGGGACAGAAAACCTTCACTGAGCCTCGGTTTCCTCAGCTGCAAAACAGGGATAGCAAGACCCAGAGCTGTAGACAATGAAGGGGAAACCACGTTGTAAGCAACAGAACCCCTTGCAAATACCAGGGATTATTATTATACAGTCAACGCAGCCAACACCATCTCATCCGGAAAGAATGACCACCCTGACTACTTCAAGGCCCTGCCTGACATGTGTTTGGTCTGGAATTGTCTATCAACTGTGCACCAACCAGACATTTCCCGCTGTTTTCCCAATAACTCAAATGAACATCCAATAGGTGTTATAGCCCAGCGTCCTCCATTCTCAGATACCTGGAGTGATGTGCTGCCCCCCAATTCCCCAATCTGGCCACTCATCCATGGCACAACAGCCTCCTCTACATCTTTTGAGTGCCTTCCCTTCTGCAACCCCAGAGCACCACCCAGCTGAGCCCCGCCTCCTCTGCTGCACTGGAAGGACAGCCTACTCACTGGTCTGGCTTCCTCCTTGGTGGCCCAACCCATGAACCCCACCAGACCTGGAAGGACCCTCCTTGTTTTGGTGCTCTGGCTCACAATGGCATGGAGGCTCTGAATGAGTCCCCACATCAAATCCAAAAGATATCTACACCCCCTATTCCGATCACACAGCTGACAGTTACAAGGCACCCGAAGGACACAATTCCCAAAGAAGGGCAACTGAGCCAGTGCTACAGGTTCTAGGTTGGAGGATGTGCGATGCCTGGCATGGAGTGGGCTGAGAAAGACAGCATGTCGAATGAACATGCAAGAGACAGGGGGCCACAGTGACACCTCAGGGCAGATGACAAGCCCAAATTTCTTCCCACAGGGTCCTGCTGCTTGTTCAACCTTAGCTACCCACTACAACTGTCTAGGTCTGGGTCCCAGCCTGGAAAATTCTGGTCCAGCAAGTGTAGGGTGGTGAAGTTTGAAATGGATTTTAAACAAGCTACAGTGGACGAGAGCCACTGCCACTGAGAGACTGAATTCCATGTCTAAGCAATGTGCAGCTTCAGTGAGGGAAGATGCTAGCGGCAATGGCTGTGACCCCTGCAGTGGGGGAAGGGGTGGCCTGGACCCTTTTCCTGAGCCTGCAGGAGGGAAAGCATGGAACCTGACAGACGACTCAACCTGCTAACTAGTCCTCCTACTAATGCCCGGGACTCATCAGAAATGCTCACCTTGGAATTATGCAGTCTGGGCAGATTAAGGAAGGGGAAAAGGCTGCACACCCATACGACCACCTTGGCCCACTCCTCTCCAAACAGAACGAAAGCTCCGTGAGGGCAGGTGTGAGGACAGGAATCAGGAAACCTCAGAAGCCCCAACACTTCAGGATAGTGAACAGATGGGAAGCTGGGGCTTGGGGAAGGAAAGGGGGCTCTGGAATGGGAAGGGATCTTTATTTTGATTTTCTGGTACTTGGCTCAAGATATTAGAGTTAAGATGCATGGCTAGAGACAAAAGATATCATGTCCTTAAGAGCCAAGTCCTAACAACTATCAAAAACGTAGACAGGAAAAAATTCCAGATAAACTATCTACCTCTCTCCCTTCCTCTCTATAAAAAACAAACAAACAATAAAATATATATTAAAAAAAAAATATGAAACTATATTTTATGGCTTCAGAAATCCATATACTAACAACATGAAGTATGGATGATAAATACAAGAATGTAAATTTCAAAAGAATTACAAAAATATGCCAAGATGGGGGTCAACTGCAATATAGCAGTGAAAAACTGAATCTTATATATAAAAAAGGAAAAAACAACAAAAGAAAAATTGCATCTTGTTCAAGAGAAAGGGAGGAACAAGTGAGCACTGTGCATAGGGGTGAGGAAAAGCACCCACTGGTGCTTTGATAGCAAGAGATACATGAACAAAGACTAAAGTCATACTGTGGGAGGAGGAGGCCACATACCTCCTGGCCAACGAAAAGGCAGCAAGCACTAATGGTGGCAGGGCTGGGAGGCTCAGGGAATCCAAAGTGCAACTACCAGAAAAACATTCAACTTACCTTGCTCTCAAGTTAACCTCACCAAAGACGGAAGAGGCAACATCCTTTGCATAATTCTAACCAACAAGGAAGTACTAATTATAAGACAGAAGTGAAAGAAACCAAGACAAACAAACAAGCAAGTCCGTCCCTAATCTCCAGGGGACACTGGGCAGCCCCCTAGGACAGTGTTTCTCAACAGGGTGGTGCCAGCATCCAGCAGGACTCAGCACTTGAGCATCCCAGCCCTGCCCATTAGATGCCAGACATTGTGATACCACCCCACCCTGATTTCCCAATGTCCTGAAGAGTCCAGTTGCTGAGAACCATTGGCACGACCAGGGGCCAGGTTGCTAAAAGTCCTGCATTGCACAAGATGATCGTGCAGACAAGAACTATTCAACCCAAAATGCCAATCACACCTCCACTGAGGAGAACAACTTAGAGAAGATGGATTCAAGTCATTCAGAGAAAAGGTAGATTCATCTGAAGGTATGAAACTCGAAAAGGCAAGATGACTCAAGAGTACTGACAAACCCTCAAGCAAAACTGCACCCCTGTACTGAGAATGAAGAACTGGGGAAGGAATATAATGAAACCAATGCAAACTCAGAGTTCAAATTTCAAATGATGGATGAAAGGACCCAACGAAGAAAAAGTGTGAGAGAGGGCCCACTCTAGAAGAACAAAGTCAGGAAAGCTATAGCCAAGAATGACAGAAACTTTACAAAATATGCCCCACAAAGGTTTGTTTCAGTTCTGCTCAGAGCAAGAGGCAGTCCCCTGTCAGCTGCTCGGGACTGACAAACCAAGAGCTCAAAGGAAAGCAGAACCAGGCAACTCACACGTTCCTTCTCCCCGTGGGGGTAAGCAGGCTGCCCAGCCAGGGTAAGTGATGAGGGAGAAAGAGCAATGCTTCTCACAATGAGGTCCATCTCTGAGCCCAGATGTGGATCTCAGTGTATTGCAGGATGTGAAAAAGAGCCTGGGTGTGCTTATCAGCTCTTCAAAGGGGGAAAAGCTCATTCCCCCCCAAACTGCAGCTCAGAGAGCTTGATGCTCACTCCAGGTCAAAGTGTGGCATGCAGCAGAGAAGAGCCACTGCCTAACAGCTCTGCAGGCACCAACAGGGAGGTGGCCTTGGCCCCAGCAGGAGTGCACTGCTCCAAGTCCTGCACAAAAGGCTCAGCTCAAACAGTGAGAGACAGGATACAGTTGTACACAATAAGCACTGTCACACAACTCAAATGTGTGCAACGAAGTTTGGGCAAAGTATTTATAGCTTGTGGCTGCGGTCCTCTTTAAGAAATCCAGACAGAGGAAAAATCAGCTGTGCAAGTCAGGGCTGCTTCAGATGTCTTATCACTACTCTGGACCAGCAGGTCTCAAGGTAGGGGGTGATTGTAGTTTTCAAAACCATATTCCTTATCATCCTGTAATTTTCATTTGCAAAGTAGGAAAAGGTGCTCTGTGCCCCAAAAGAACTACAGGAAGTAAAGCTGAATGCCATCTTCTTGGCTGTTGAGGCTGGATTGAGAGAGAGAAGCGCTGCTCTGTAGAAGCCTGCAGGTAAGAGCATGGGTGGCCCAGCAGGCAACAGCAGAGGGTAACAGCTTCATAGAAGAGAAGCTCTGAGATGGGCCTTGAATGATGGGAGAAGCCGAACTTCTAGAGAGAAGAGAACAGGCATTTGTGTGTGGGAAATGTACTCAAAAACATTAGAAATCACAGGGGAAAGTTTTAGGGAAGTTTTAGAGTTTGGCTAGAGTGAGTATTAACTTTGGGGACTTCTCCAGGGTATGTGCCCAAGCCCCTTGGGAAGTTATTCAACACCCATGGAGAGGTGGGGGTGGGTCAGGGGCAGAGGGGGTAGAGAAGGAGGGAAAAGAAAGATGGACTTGTGCCCAGGCCCCCTATAGATCTGCAGAATCAGAACCTCCTGAGTTCAGCTGAGCACTTGTGCCTGGGGATCCTCAGGTGACAATGATATGCACCCTGCTTAAGAACCACTGCACTCATCCAACTGGAGTCTTCTAGCAAGGAAGACGCTGAGGCCCTGATTTAGTGCCATTTCCAGTTAGAAATAAGCTTCTAAAAGAGCTAACATCGCCCCAGCTGGTTTTGCTCAGTGGATAGAATATTGGCCTATGGACTGAAGGGTCCCGGGTTTGATTCTGGCCAAGGGCACGTGTCGGGGTTGTGGGCTTCATCCCCAGTAGGGGGCATGCAGGAAGTAGCCGATCAATGATTCTCTCTCATCATTGATGTTTCTATCTCTCTCCCCATCTCCCTTCCTCTCTGAAATCAATAAAAATATACTTAAATACATACACACATACATACATACAAGAATTAACATCTATCAGGGCCAGGTACATGGAAACTATATAAGTTCTGAAGTTGTTGTTTTTTTAAAGTGAATGCTGCCCTGGCCATTGTGTGGTTCAGTTGGTTGGGTGTTGTCCCGTGTACCAAAAGGCTGCTGGTTTGATTACTGGTCAGGGCACAGGCCCGAGTTGTGGGCTCAATCCCAGGTGGGAGGTGTGCAGGAGGCAGCCAATCAATGTCTCCTTCTCACATTAATGTTTCTTTCTCTCTCTCTCTAAAAAAATCAATAAAAACAACTTTAAGGAGTGAATGCTGATTGCAGCTTACAGTGCTTATTTTACTGTTCTCTATTCTGAAGATTCCTATACGTAATAGGATCAGAATATCCCAATCTCCAACCATGCTCTTCTTTATTTTATATAGTATACATAGAAATACTATTTGATCTGGCAGACGGTTGCTTCAACAGCTGCCAAATAATCAGTGGACTAGAAAGAGCAGAAGCTTCTGGGTCAGGCAGGGCTGGCCTCAACCCTACCAGCCCCACCCTCCACACCAACCTGAAGCTCTAAAAAGTCTACCATCTTACCTGAAAAAAATATAAGAAACCTACTTCACAGGGCCCTAATGAAAATTACAAAAAATGTTATATGGTGCTTAACACAATACCTCTGTAAGTACTCAATTAATGGTAGTTTTACTCCCTTCCAAAATTGTATCACCATATTTCTTAAAATAATAAAGTTTTACCCTAGCTGGTTTGGCTCAGTGGATAGAGCATTGGACTGCAACTGGAAGGTCCCGGATTCGATTCCAGTCAAGGGCACATATCTCAGTTACAGGCTGGATCCCTGGCCCTGGTAGGGGTACGTGGGGGAAGGCAACCAATCGATGTGTCTCTCACATTGATGTTTCTTTCTCTCTGTCTCTTCCCCTTCCTTCCACTCTCTCTAAA